TGATTTGATTTGATTTGACAAATATTTGATTCAATTTGATTTGATTCGATCAAATTCAAATCGATTCAAATTGATTCAATCAAATATTTAAGTTTAATTTGATTCATTTTGATTCAATTTGAAAAAATCAAATCAAATTTAAATTGCTTAAATATTTGATTCGATTCGATTTTAAGAAACCTACTTAATGATGAAGAAAATGACTCAAGTCAATTTTCTATTGCAGCTTCTATAGAAGAAACAGATTGATTATTAGTTGAATTAATGAAGAAATATCTTCTACTTCTAGAACATCATCATCACATAATGTAATAACAAGATATCGATATTTACAAAGCTCAATTTTAGATGCATTCTATCATCTTGAAATCCAGGAAGAAAAAGGAGAATCTTTAACAATATCAGCTTTAGCTAAACGAATTATTAAATATAAATCAAAAGATGATGAATATCAAGAGAATTCTGGTTCTATATTTGTATCTTGAAAACGTGTAAATAGATACAAAAATTGACTAAAATCCAACATAAATTCTCCTGATAATAATTCTAAATAAAGTGTTGATGAGCCTTCTGAATCTTCTAAATATACTACTGAAGAAGATGATATTTTAGATAATAGTAGTAGTAGAAATGAATCAGATGATAGTAAATCAGGTAATAATGAAGGTTCTAAAACATTTGAAAATTATACATCATCTAATTATGAGCCTTTTCAAGATCCACTAGGTTATAAATTAATAATTAGTAGCTGATGTTTGTGGATTTTACTTTAGATTATAATATTTCAAATAAGATTCAACATTATAGAGACAGCAACTGAGGCTTTGATAAAATATATGAAACTAATCTTAATAGAAATTAGAGGTGATGATTTTAAAGACTTTTCAGATTTAAATTATTTAACAAGAAAGCAACTTAGATTAAAAGACCAATTCATAGCTTCGTTTCTTATCCAAAATAGCATAAGCTGTATCAAAAATATAAAGTGATAAATTTTAGACAAGATTTATTTGCCATAATGAAATGCAGACATATAAAATTTTTTAATTCATCACTTTGCAACTTATGACTTTGCCATATACTGTTATCTCAAAAATCAGTGTTTCAGTAAATTGAGTAATAATTTGTCCTAATTCAATCTTTTCATTTTCTGAAATCAGACAACAACTCATTTTAATGTATTATTGACCTTGTTTTGAAAGTTGTTTGAGACAATGAACAAATCATTAGCATTTTAATAATATTATGACTGATATATATGATGGTCAAGTATAGCAAACATTGAAAGAATCTTCTGAAGAAGATTCACAAAAATTTTTTAGAAATGAAGTGGCCAATTCTCATCTCAGATTGATGTTAAACTTGGATTGGTTTCAGCTCTATAATGGAACTGTGTATAGTATTGGTGTTATTTATATTGTTATATGCAACTTGCCTCATGATATCTGATTTAAATATGAAAACCTACTGACCCTTAGCCTCTTACTTGAACCAAGTGAAGTAAGTTTGCATAAAATAAATCATTATTTAGTACCAATTGTTGATGAATTAAAATCTTTGAAATGGAATAACTATAGATAAAACTTATAAATGTCAAAAAGGAAGGACTATTTGTGCAGCTCTAATTCTTATTTCATGTAATATAGCAGTTGCTAGAAAAGTATGTGATCATATTTTAGCCTTAGTATTATATTATAGGTGTAAGAAGAAAGCAAATTATAAAAATTGACAGCATAATTTTACTGATATGGATGATTTTTGATATTAATTCTTCATGTAAAATTCAATTGAACATTATCAGAATGCTTTAGAATAGAGATATTGTAATTCAGATTCTTCATGAAAGTGGTTTGTAAAATAAACTAATGTAAGATAGTCTTATTAGATTTATCACAATTGACTCAATACATTGTTTATTTTTGAAAATTACACGATAGATAGTAAAGTGAATTTGGATTGATGAGGGAATTTTAATATCAAATGCCTGAAAAAGATTCAGAAAAAATGAATGAGTTTCAGATTCTATGAAGGAGAGGGATTTTCTAATTTCACAGCCGATCAATAGTAAATGTTTTTTACTGTTTATGCTAATGTATCATTTTAGGAATTTCTTCTAGTTGAGATAAAAAATTCTTATGCATTTCGTGAAAATTTGCTTAATTTTAGTAAGCTGAATTATAAAATCAGACCTAGTATAAGATATTTTTTATAGTATTTTATATACTACTTTTCCTGTTGATTCAGCAAAAGTTTTTACTATTTTATCTGCTAATATATTATAGTTTTGAGTAATAATAGCCTTAAAATATCTTTATTAATATTTTAGATACTCACTTCATAAAGCAATACTAATGGATTGTAATTTTGTTATGATCTAATTTTTAAAAATAGCTCTTTCTAATTTATCAGCTTTATATAAACCAATTATTATTCTATATTGTTACAGGGTGATTATAACATAGAGAATATAGCTCAGTAAATGATCAACATGTTTCACAAAATTGATCTACTAGAAGATTTACAAAAACGATCTAC